GTAGAACCTAGAAGATGGGAATGTTGAGAGTAATGACAGATAGTGGAGGTCAAGGTCATAGGATTTTAGTGGGCAGTAGGCTCTTCAGGGAACCGTGCAGTTGGCCCAACCTAACTGGCTTGAGAGACCTGTATCATAGGTTTTTCAGGTTAAAGTCCATGGTTCCTGGGTCACAATATACCTCCCAGTTCCTGACAGACTGTTGCATTCCCTTAGGCAGTAAGCATTCAGGCTGATTTCTGCACTTTGTATGATCCCTTTGTAGTCAAGGAATCATGTACGCTTAACAGGACAATTGAACTTAGACATTAATCTTGTGTATGCTGTATAGCTTGTAAACTTCATTATATCCTGGTGTAGACAGAGATTGCTTTTCATTTCCCAATGTCCAGACTTGTAATAATTATACAGAAATTGTATTAATTATAAGACTGCATATTCAATAGCTTAGGCTTCTTATTAAGTAATTTTCCCATCTTAAATTAAGCCATTTTTATCAATCTGTGTATTGCCACATGGCTGTGGCCTGCCAGTAAGGTTCCTTCCAGCATTTGTCTCCTTCAGTGGCTACATGTCATCTCCCTCACTCTGCCTTCTTTTCTCCTCTATCTCTGCTTCGAATTCCCACCTTGTTCTATTCTGTGTTGCCATAGGCCCAAAGCAGTTTTTTTTTTGTTTTTTGTTTTTTGTTTGGTTTTTCGAAACAGGGTTTCTCTGTGGCTTTGGAGCCTGTCCTGGAACTACCTCTGTAGACCAGGCTGGTCTCGAACTCACAGAGATCCACCTGTCTCTGCCTCCCAAGTGCTCAACGCAGTTTTTTTGTGTTAACCAATGGGAATAAAACATATTCACAGCATACAGAGGGGAATTCCATAACATCCTGGAAGCTACAAGAGTATTGATCCTAGAAATTGCCATTATCTTCTATATTTGATAAATACAGAGTCTGAGTGTCCTCAATAAAACTGTCATAGCCTTGTCTTGTTGTGGCCTTTCTAGCCCAAGTCTGACTTCATTCCTTGTGGCATCATCAGGTGATCTTAGCTTGGTACACAAGCACAGGTGCTTAGAAGACTTCATGAAAAAATTATCTATAGATCATTTGTGTGATATTTTTGTCCTAATCTTTCTTATTCTCTCCTTGTCCTGAAAAAGACCTTAGGCAGAATTACAGAGTTATAAACTGATTTCCTATACAAAATACTGCTTCTATTGGATGGTTATTACTGATGACTCATTCAGGTCTACAGTGAAAAAAACAAGAAGAAAAAGATGACGAGTGTAGCTGCAAGTTTTCCTTCCCATCTTCCAGCTCCGAAATAACCATTCAGAGGCTTATATTAATTATAAATATTTAGCCAATGACTCAGACTAATACTAGCTAATTCTTATAATTAAATTAACCAATATTTTGTATATATTTGCTACCTGATTCATGACTTGTTACCTCACATCTTGTTCTGCCTGCAGCTCTTGGAGTTTCCTTGACTTCACCTTCTTTCTCTCTGTATTTGTTTGGATTTCCTAGCTAGATATATTCTGCCCTGTCATAGGCTAAAACAGCTTTATTCATCAACCAAAGAAAGCAACACATATTTTCAGCATTCAGAGGGACATCGCACATCAAAACAGTGTGTTTTGTTAAGTAAAACAATACTAGGTAGTTTCAGATGGCAGTCCAGTGGTAAAAGGATGCAGAGTTTGTCAACTATTTTAGCACCATTAAAGGGAAGAGCCTGGCTGTACATTTGAAGTCTAGGAACATGCTCCATATGTAAGACTGGATCTAACTAAGCCCTTAATTCTTGGAAAGAGTACACAAAGTAATTCCTTGTCCCAGGAGCAACATCATATAGAACTTGCAGCAAATTTGGTCCAAGCTTTGTAGGGTCCATCAAATCTTGGCAGGATTACCTATGTCATACTGATTCAGAAAACAAGAAAGATGCAAAATATAAAGGTCATGGATTCTTTTTTTGTGATCAGGTCATCAGTATTTTGCCCATCTCTGTTTGGCAGAGTCAGATCCCCAGTGAAGAAGAGATTCTGAGAGTTCATTAAAGGAAGTGGTGGAGATGAAGCTGGGTCACATTTCAGACCACAGGATGTTGAGATACCCAAGCTATGGGACTTCTGCCATGGAGAAGTGCATAGGGGTGTGGAAGTAGCAAGAGTGAGCTATATGAGAGGTTGCAGTGTGTTGTTTGATATTTTGATCATATTTAGATAAAAAAGCATGTTTGGGGTCAGAGCTTAGCTATTTACTGACCAAAAGATGTCATAGTGTAGAAGGAGTGGTGGGCTATGTTCCCCGCGCCTGGCCACCCACAGTGCTAGCTTTACATCCGAAATAACACACAGTTTTTTTTTTTTTTTTTTATTTTCGAGACAGGGTTTCTCTGTAGTTTTTGGTTTCTGTCCTGGAACTAGCTCTTGTAGACCAGGCTGGCCTTGAACTCACAAAGAACCTCCTGCCTCTGCCTCCCGAGTGCTGGGATTAAAGGTGTGTGCCACCACTGCCCGGCAAAATTGTATTCTTTTATACACTGCCAAGCCCATTAGTTCTAGCCTCTTACTGGCTAATTCTCACATCTTGATTAACCCATTTCTAATAATCTGTGTAGCACCACGAGGTTCTTCTTCTACTCCTATTATTCTTAGGATTGGTCTTTTATTGTGTCCCAGATTTCCTGAATGTTTTGTGATGAGAGTTTGTTGGATTTACTATTTTCTTTGATCAGTGCGTTTATTTTCTCTTTGTTATCTTCGGAATCTGAGATTCTTTCTTCTATCTCTTGTATTCTCCTGGTTATGCTTGTTTTTGTAGTCTCTATTCGTTTACCTAGATTTTCCATGTCCAGCCGGCCCTCTGTTTGTGTTTCCTTCTTTGCCTCCATTTCAGTTTTCAAGTCTTGAACTGTTTCCATTATCTGTTTGATTGTTTTTCCTTGGTTTCCTAGGGTATCATTCACTGATTTATTCAGTTCTTCAAACTTTCTGTTATACTACTCATCCATTTCTATAAGGGCATTTTTTACATGCTGTTTAAGGGCGTCTATCATATTTATAAAGTCAATTTTTTCTACTTCTTCTTGATTAAGGTGTTCATGTCTTCCTGTTGTGAGGTCGCTGGGTTCTGGTGGTTTCATGTTGTTTTTCAGATTGTTGGGTGAATTCTTGCATTGGCGCCTGCCCATCACTTCCTCCGAATGCTTCCCTATGGATGTTCTTTTACAGGATCAGGTCTCCTTGCCTACTGATGTACCTTCCCAGTGATGGCACTCCCCAGTGATGGCTCTCCTGGTGGTGGAGTGATGTCTCTTCTGGTGCCGAGATCAGATCTCTGTGCTGGTTGGGTAGCTCGTAAACAAAGCACCTACCTTGCTTGCTGCAGGCAGGCTATTGAAACAAAGGAGATCCCGCCCGCTAGGTTGCCCTCGGGATTTAGCCCCAGCGCCCCAAAGGGGGAAGGGAGGCAGAAGGGGGGAGGGTTCTGGATGCAAGCTGGGTGGGATAGGAAGAGAGAGGCAGTATGCTGGGAGTATTGGCCCAGCAGGGAGCCCAGGAAGTATAGGGAGGATGAGGAACTTCTGAGTTTCCTGTCTTGGGCTGCTGACATGGGTCCAAAACTCACCCCAAACTTACATTACATTTTTTAACTCTGTGTAGCTGTGTTACTTTGCCAGCCTAAAATACCTGATTGGTCTAATAAAGATCTGAATGGCCAATAGCTAGGCAGGAGAGGGATAGGTTGGGATGCCAGGCAGAGAGAATAAATAAAAGGAGAAAGAGAGAAGGATTGAGGACCAAGAAGAGAAAGAGGAGAATGTCAGGGACTAGCCACCCCACTTCACAGCCACAGAGTAGGAAGTAAAGAAAGGTATATAGAATAAAGATAAAACCTCAAGGCAAAAAGTAGATAGAATAATTTAAATTAAGTAAAGCTGACAAGAACCAAGCTAAGGCTGGGCATTCATAGGTAAGAATAATACTCCGTGTGATTTATTTGGGAACTGGATGGTGGGCTTCCAAAAGAGCCAAAGAGTAAAAAAAACTAACCATAGGATGGATCATCTGTGGGTATATGCCCAAGACTGGTACAACAATATCCTGCGGTAGATCTATTCCCAATTTTCTGAGGAACTGCTATTTTGATTTTGATAGTAGCTTTACAAATTTACAAAGTGTTTTCCCCATAGATAACCAGAGTGATATAGCTGAAGTGTTGCTCAGCTCATGCCTGTCTATATTTTAAGAGTTTTTAGTGACTCGAAATTATTAGGCCTGTTTGTATCCCAATATCCAAGTTGGGAGGCTCTGAACCACCTCATACTCCAGATTCAGGGGATCTGACATCCTCTTTTCTTATATGTCACCTGTATACACATGGGAGACATTCTTTCTCACACATAAACATATACAAAATGTGGGGATAAACTTCTTTTCCAAAATCCTTGTGATTCATAAATCAATTAGAGCAAAGCAAGTTGCTTTAGGTGTGTAATACAAATCATATGCTGTTTCTTTAAAAAAAATTATTATTCTGCATTTGGTTTGAAAATGTTTTTATTTCCTCATTCAAAAATTCAAAGAAAACAAAATAATATACATAATCCAGACACTCTGTATACAGTCCTTCTTTACGTGGGTTAGTTGTTTTTATTCTATTACTTTTTAATATTTATTTTATTGTCCTTACTCTTTTAATTTATGACTGTCTGTTCTCTGTCTCTTTAAAGACTTCGTTTCATTTTTTATAAGCCATTTACATCTTTTTATAACTCTATTATTTTCCTTTTCTCTCCCAACTCTATGCACATTTTTAAAACACACTCTGTCTCATTTAGAGGTCTTTTATGTATGAAATTGTACTATTGTGTATTTGTAATTCTTTCCTGTTCAGGAGTGTGCTTCTTAAAATGCTAAGCACTTCTTATGAACTTAAGCTGTGCCATTGGTAGAGAAAATATGTCCTGGCTGCTTGCTCCACACAGTCCAAGATGGTAGAGGCACATTTGCTGCCTCCGAGAGCCATGTACATTGCCCCATTTTCAGGCATTCACGGGGTCTCAGTTGCCATTAGCAATCTTCTCACAGACCCCATAACTGGTCCTCCAGAAAGAGTCAGAGTTCGTGCTGACAGCACAGCCCAGAAAGCCGGCATTTCAAAATGGTGCAGCTTTTTTTTATGCTACCTCTAAATCAGGAAAACCTCTCTTAAAGGTGCCAAAGCATGTCACCAGTAAGCAAAGCCCATTTGGGGAAAGAAATGTAGCTAAACTTCATTTTTTAGTGTCTAGAATTCCTTTCCAAGCTCTCTAAGATTGTAAGTGGATTTTAGTTGGCTTCGTGGTCGCGTTTATTATGGGAAACTGCTTGTTAGTTCCCAGCTGCTCAGCCCGAAAGCAATCACACAGGATCTGTATTAATTAAATCACTGCTTAGCTCATTGGCTCTAGCGACTTATTGGCTAACTCTTACATGTTAATTTAATCAATTTCTATTAATCTGTGTATTGCAATGTGGGTATAACTTACAAGATAAAGTTCTCAGCATCTGTCTTCTGCAAGCTACATGACTTCTGTCTGACTCTGCCTTCTTTCTCCCAGCATTCAGCTTAGTTTTCCCAACCCACCTTGGAGTTGTCCTATAGCTCTGTTATAGGCCCAAAGCAGTTTCTTTATTAACCAATGATAATCACAGCATACAGATTGGAATCCCATATATGAGTTTCTATAGCCTCAACCCATTTTCTGTTCTTTGTGCCTACTGTGTTGTGGTTGAAACTAATCAGTCATCTTTCTGTCATTACTTCCCCACCATCATAAACTCTATCACTAAATCACATAAGGTTTAGTAGAACTAGCTGCTATTTGGTGCTAAGGTTGTTTGGTAGCCTACTCTTTTTATTTTTGTTGATTTATTTTTGAAGACATGGTTTGTCTGTGTAGCCCTAGCTGTCCTGAAAGTAGCTCTATATACCAGTTTGGCTTCAAACTCAGAGTACCTCTTAACTCTGACTCCATAGTGCTGAGATTTAAGGTGGGCCCGCATTCCTGACTTTTTTGTTTTTATATCAATTTTTTTTATCAAGCATACGCTATTGTAGTGAACTTCACCCATATCTTAAATTTTAAATTTTACAGAGGGTATCATTATCTTTCCCTGGATGGCATGTATTCATGACATTAATACTACCTGTGCCTTCTGAGACATTGGATTGCAGGTGCATAACCTTCTTTCTGCCTGTTTTGTTTTGAATTTTTATCTTAAAAAGAGTATTTTACCTGTATGCATGGTTATGCACCATGTGAGTACCTGTTCCTTCCTTACATTGATCAAAGATGGTACTAGAAACATTGCACTTGGAGTAATGCATAGTTATTTTCCCCCATGGAAGTCATTGGTACACAAGACCAGGAGGACTCTTTACTGTTGAGCCATCTTTCCTGCTCTGTGTTGATTATTTGTAATCAGCATATTAATTGCTATTATGTTCATTTGTCCATTTGTAACTTTTTAAACACACAGTGCCTTTTAGTCAAATCTTATTTATGTTGCAGTTTAAATTGGGGCACTTCAGGTTTCTGGTAGATGAATAAATAGTTGATGTGAATGCCTAACTTTTGTAGAAACTTCAGCAAAAACCTGTGAGTTATTCCTAAGTTTTATGTTTGTTTGTTTGATTTTTATCATGTGAAAGAGGTATTTAACACGTATTTCTGCCTACCCTAGAAGTGATTGCATGGACTAGGCTGGTATTCAACTCAGAGGCAGAGAAATATTCATGCTTTAGCGTTCTGAGTACAAGGATTAGAGGAATGATTCAATGCATCCTGCTTTTTCATTTTATGTTTCTTTTTTGTACTCAGAAATTAATCATTCATACAATTTCTCTTATCTGTACTCTGTATTGTTGATCTGTTTATGTATCTTTCATTGTTGGGTAGTAGGCATTTCTCTTGCAAGGTGATATCCCATTCAAATGGTTCAGAAATGGCAATGGTGAACTTCGGGATCAGTTTGTTTCTAAGGTGATTTGGTGATTAAATTATGATGTCTATGTCATGGAATAAGTATGGGGAGCACCAGAATTATATAATGATAGTGTCAAAGAAGTACACATTTACAGTGTTGTCCAATCATACTTTCTGTTGTACACATGTATGGGATATTTTAGAATGCAGTGACCTATGATGACGTGCATGTTGACTTCACTTGGGAAGAATGGACTTTGCTGAATCCTTCCCAGAAGAGTCTCTACAAAGATGTGATGGTAGAGACCTACAGAAACCTCACTACTATAGGTAAGACTAAATTATTTTTTATGTGTCAAATAAGGGGACAAGTGTTCATTGGTTAATGATGCTCTTTTGTAATATCATTGAGAAAGAAGAATGGGTAAAGAAATCAGGCATGGTTTTAAGATTTTCTTATATGGTAACTAAATTTTTTACAATTTTTAATATATATCATAAATTTTTCTGTCACTATATTTTAGGATATAATTGGGAAGACCATAATAATGAACAATGTTGTCAAAATTCTAGAAGACTTGAAAGGTAATTTCCATGTATAAGCTCATACATATGTACCCCTGAAGAATTTATAATGTATCCTATATATTTTCAACCAAAACCACAATGTAATAAAGTGCATTGATGATTATTAAAATTATCACAAAATCATATACCTTAATTTCATATAGGTGAACTGCATTTGCAAGTCATTCTTTTAAGAAAGAAGTAAGGAAATGATGTCTTAACCTATATTTCCATTTCAATCATGATACAATGAGAGCTTTACTGCAAAATTGTCAGTGCATTTATTTCATAGTATTCATATTATAAAAGATATACATGTTGAAAACATGATAAGTATATCTCTGAAACTCTGTATTACACTAATATTCCATAGAAAAGGTAGTTTATCTCATATACTAGTGACGGTGTTAATTTTAGTGAGAGGGTAGTTAGAGTCACAAATCAAGGGACAGCTGTCCTGGAGAGGCCTCAATCCAGATACCAAAAGTCTATGAGGACAGAAAGTCAAACTGTGAACTCAATGAAGAAGCCTTATATTTGTTATTCTTCCTTTACTTAGGATATCATTTGTTCCTCTGGATACAAGCCACATGAGCATAGTGAAGTGAAGAAATATAACATACCTCTCTCTTAGAACAAATAGAAGATATATAGCAGTCCCCATGTTGAGTATACTTGTTGAATTTGATGTACAGGTATACAAGTCATTGTTTTCCTAGTCTCATTGTTAATATATCAACAAGCTCACATTTCAGAAAAGCGCCATGAGTACTAGTACTATGTAAAAACTTCTGTTTGTCCTAGTAGACTTAGCAAATGTAATTTCACTCACATTATAGGAAACATTATGAATGCAATAAGAGTAGTAAAGCTCTGAGTTTTTTCAGTTCTCTTCAAATACATGAAAATTCTCATACAGAAAAAAAGATTCTGGAAATGTAAATCATGTAATAAAGGCTGTTATCAGTTATCCTCAAAGATGAAAAAGCAAGCCTTAATGAAGGGGAAAAACAAGGTTGTATATATGGTGATAAAACTTTAACATATAATTCTTCTTTAAAATTGACTAAATTGTAAAATTAATATATACAGATATAAATATTCAACAATGTATTAAATGTAGTAATGCTTTCACATGTACCATTATCATTGTAGGGATGAAAAAAGTCAAAATTTCTGCATATACTCAATGTCTTAAAACCTTTGCATGTCGTCTTCACAGGCATGAAAAAACACACACTAGATTGAAACCTTATGAAGAAAATGAGTATGGTAAAGCCTTTTCATATCACACTCATCTTCAAATGCATAAAAGATCATACACCGGAGAGAAACCCTATGAATGTAACAAGTGTTGCAAAACCTTTACACGTCACCATACTCTTCAAATGCATAAAAGAACACATACTGGAGAGAAGCCCTATGAATGTAATCAGTGCGGTAAAGCCTTCGCACGGCAAGACCATCTTCAAACTCATGAAAGAAGCCATACTGGAGAGAAACCTTATGAATGTAATCAGTGGGGTAAAGCCTTTGCAGATCACAGTAATCTCCAAAAGCATAAAATAACCCATACTGGAGAGAAACCCTATAAATGTAATCAGTGTGACAAAGCCTTTGTACATCTGAATACTCTCCGAAAGCATAAAAGAACCCATACTGGAGAAAAACTGTATGAATGTAATCAGTGTGGTAAAGCCTTCACAAGGCAAGACCATCTTCAAACTCATGAAAGAACCCATACTGGAGAGAAACCCTATGAGTGTAATCACTGTGGTAAAGCCTTTGCTGATCAAAGTAGTCTCCAAAGACATAAAAGAAGCCATACTGGAGAGAAACCCTATGAATGTAATCAGTGTGGTAAAGCTTTCGCATATTCCAATAGTCTCCAATATCATGAAAGAAGCCATACTGGAACGAAACCCTATGAATGTAATCAGTGTGGTAAAGCCTTCGCACAGCACAGTTATCTTCAAACTCATGAAAGAAGCCATACTGGAGAGAAACCCTATGAATGTAATCAGTGTGGTAAAGCCTTTGCAGATCACAGTACTCTCCGAAAGCATAAAAGAAGCCATACTGGAGAGAAACCTTATGAATGTAATCAGTGTGGTAAAGCTTTCGCAAGATCCCGTAGTCTCCAGGATCATGAAAGAAGCCATACTGGAGAGAAACCCTATGAATGTAATCAGTGTGGGAAAGCTTTCGCATATTCCAGTAGTCTCCATGATCATGAAAAAACCCATACTGGACAGAAACCCTATGAATGTAATCAGTGTGGCAAAGCCTTTGCATATCCCAGTATTCTCCGAAAGCATAAAAGAACCCATACTGGAGAAAAACTGTATGAACGTAATCAGTGTGGCAAAGCCTTTGTATATCCCAGTAGTTTCCAAAAACATAAACGAACCCATAATGTAAAGAAACCCTATGAATGTAATCAGTGTGTTGAAGCCTTTGCACAGCACATTCATCTACAAAGTCATGAAAGTAGCCATGTTGGTGAGAAAACCCTATAAAAGTAATCAGTGTGGTAAAGCCTTTGTTTGTCACAGTAGTCTCCAAGCACATGAAAGAACACATACTGGAGAGAAACCCTATGAATATAATCAATGTTGTAAAGCCTTTGCATGTATAGTGATCTCTGAAAACAAAAGAACCCATACAGGGTAGAAACATTACATATGTAATTATTGTGCTAAAGGCTTTGCTTATCATAGTCATCTTCAAAGACATGAACTAACACATGCTGGAGAGAAATCCTATGAATGTAATGAGTGTGGTAAAGCCTTTGCACTTCACAGGACTCTTCAAATGCATAAAAGATCACACACTGGAGATTAAGTCTGTGAATATCATCAGTATGGTAAAGCATTTGAATATATGAATAATCTAAGTCACGAGAAAAATCATACTGCATAGAAAGCCTTTGAATATATTCAGTATGATAAAGTTTTGTACTTTATATAGGAATACAACTTTTTGTGTGCAATAATCTGTTAAAATCTCTGTATATTACAATAGACAATGACTACGTGAAAAAGATACTGAGGACTTCTTATTATAAAGTATTTGGTAAGATCTTCAGTCAAAACACTTATAATCACCTACACAGTGATTTGAGTTTCCCTTCTGTATGCTGTGAATATATTTTGTTACCATTGTTAATAAAGAAGCTGCTTTGGTCCCTTCGCAGGGCAGAATAGAGCAAGGCAGGAATTCCACGCAGAGATAGAGGAGAAAAGAAAGTGGAGTCAGACTCCATGTATCTGCTGAAGGAGACAGATGCCCTGAACCTTACTGGTAAATCACAAGTCTTGTGATAAAATACAAAATACTAGGAATGGGGTAATTTAAGATGTCAGTATTAGTTAATAAGATAGGCCAAGCACTGTTAATTAGTATAGTTTCTGTGTGATTATTTTGAGTCTGTACAGCCAGGAATGAACAAGAATCTTCTCCTACAACACAAGACTATTTCTTCTGTAGAAATAAATTTGACAGTGTTAACAATCTTTTCTAGCATTATGATGTCCTTTTTATACTGTTTGTACTTAAAACCTCATGGGAAAATGAATTTATGAATTTATCAAGCCCTATGTGTAGGGTAAATGGGCCAGCCAAAGAAAGACATCCTGACCCTGACACCAGAGCCAGTGAAATATATAATTTTGACTCTGAAACTGGAGCCAAAGTAATACATCCTGACACTAAGACCAAGACATAGAAACACACTTTGTTCCTGAATCCAGAGCCAATAAAAGAAACATCTGACTCTGAAACCAGTCTCAAAAGGTTATAAGGGGCCCGTGAAAGAACACACTTTGGCCCTGAAACAAGATCCAAATATAATTCTACCCTTGACCACCTGAGCACAAAACCATCTAATTCCTAAGCTTCAGATCTACCAACACCCGAGCATGAAATCCAGCAATCTCTGCTTTGTTCAAGGTCAGGGATTGACATCTAAACAATTCCCGCCCTGAGAATCTTCTCCCTCAGAAAACTCGGCCACTTATGCCCTGAAATAACAACACACAAACTGTATTCTTTTAATCACTGCTTGGCCCATTTCTATCTAGCCGCTTCTAGGCTAACTCTCGCACCTGGACTAGCCCATTTCTAATAATCTGCTGTAGCCCACGAGGTGACTTACCAGGGAGATTCTAGCCTATGTCCATCCTGGGTCGGAGCTTCATCTCGTGTGTCTCAGAGAGCAGAGCTATAGCATCCGCCCAGGAGAGGGGAGCATGGCGTCTCTGCTCCAGAGAATAGAGCTGTCAAGTCTGAGCTCACTTCCTCTTCCTCCCAGCATTCTGTTCTGTTTAATCCTCCCACCTATGTTTTAACCTATGAGAGCCAAGCAGTTTCTTTATTATAATTAACCAATGACCTTCCTCCATCATTTCCCCTTTTCTGTTTAAACAAAAAAAAAAAGAAAGGCTTTAACTTTAACATAGCAAAATTACATATGACAAAACAGTTATTAAGCAAGAATGACAGTTACAATATTTATATCTACCTTATCTTTTATCATAACAATGGTAAACTATAACTATAACTAACCATTCTTCAAGTTTATCAAAGACTTCAGAAGAATATAATATTACCTAAGTAAACAAGGAATCCGAAACTCTAGAAATGACAGAGACATCTTGCTGCCTGTACAGTCACCCAAATTTCCTCTGTACTGTTGGGGCATCCATCTTCGGCCTACAGTCCCATGGTATCCAGAAACATTTCCATGAAGTAGGACATTTCAAAGTCAGTTCATTCACTATCTGTCGTGTCCTGCAGAATGTCTCACAGACTCTTTCATGAATCAGGAACCCCGAAAGATCATCTCACCTTTCAGCAAGTTCAGTAGTCCTCTCTCTGTGGGTTCTCTGTGTCCAGTTTATGCAGTAGTCCAGGGAAGAGCAGTTTCTTGCCCAAATGGCTATCAAACTCCATAAGGATCCTCTTCAATGCCCATCTTCCTCTTGAAGTAGATTGGTGCTGCCAGGAGCAGAGTGTCTCATTGTCATGAAAAGTCCTAAGTTATTAAAGCATTAAATGCCATATTCTGCAGTCTTTGAAAGATATGAAGAATGTCTATCTAACTGAAATGTATCTCTATATATCTAGAAAATCTAACTAACATGACTACAAGCTTGACTATAGGTGATGATTATCCATTAACCTATATTTCTTAATTATACATTACATTTTTTAATGAACTACACAATCACAATATCTTAATCAATAGCAGAAGTATGCATATACATATAACAAAATTGACCTTAAATCTCTATCAATAAAGCAAAATCTATACTAATACAAATTATTTGTATCTATATCATATCCCCCTTTAAATGTTTTAAAGAACATTTATAAACCATTTTTGGGAACATGGGCACAGTTTTTTCTCTCCAAACTGCTTCCTGCTGAATGGGGGCATTGTTAATTAGGTCTTTCATGGTATTACCTGTGTGCTAGTTTCATCTCAGTTGGAGTTGAGTGAAGCAATTTTATGAAGATGTTCACAGCAACCCTTCAGGAGGGCGAGGTCCATCATACCATATCGGAATAGAAGAAATGAACGGGGTCTCATCCTCTGTGAAAACAAAATAGGAAACTCCTTTCCAAAGCATCATGTCCTTAGATCCAAATTTCAAAGTCAAGACATTTTCAAAATATCTATGTTGGATTAGTTCAGCTGCATTTATAAATAAATATCTTTTAGCAGCTGTTGTTCTTTCCTCAGCATTCAAATAATTCAAAGAGAGCATAATAGCATACAGTATCAAAATTCTCTGTGTATTTTCCATCTTTGTTTTAACCTCTATTTCATTTATTTTTACTTTTAACTTTTAACTTTTTGAGACAGGTTCTCTGTATCTTTGACCTGGAATAACTCTGTAGACCAGGCTGTCCTTGAACTCTCAGAGATCCACCCATCTCTGCCTCGTAGGCATTGGGATTAAAGGTGTACGCTACTACCTGTGTACTCACAGAGATCTGTTTGTCTCTGCCTTCTAGGCACTGGGATTAAAGGCCTGTGCTACCACACCTTGAAGTCACAGAGGTCAATCTCCCTCTGCCTCCCAAGTGTTGGGATTAACGGTGTGTACTACCACACACAACAACTCTTTTCTTTTTTTTATTGTTTTTTACTTTAAGAACTTCAACTTTTAGCCTGCATATATTTTTAACACGCTGTAAATCATTTAAACATTTTCTTTGTCTTTGACGCTCTCTTTACTGTATCTCTCTCTGTTTTTCTGACCACATGAGTCTTTAATTTACCACGCAGTCTCAGTAGGACTAAAGCCGTGGCTTTGCCAGCTAGATCCAGTCCATTCCTTAGCTTTCCAGCCTCATGGCTGAGGTACTGGCTGTAGCCATGTTTACTGCCACAACTCTATGGCATTTCAAGGTTCCTGCCAGCAAGTAAGTTGCAGCATTATGTCCAAGCCCTCTCTCTGTAGTTGGCCCTCCTGCCTCAAACAGTCAGAGTTTGCCCTGGCAGGACGGTCCAGAAAGCCGGCATTTTAAAACAACACAGGTTTTTTTTCCTGCTGCTGAGTCAGGAAAATTTCAAAATGGAGGACATACCATTTTGTGGTAGCTCTGGGGCCGCCAGGTAGGAGCGGCACTCAGCACTTTAATTCTGAGACTGAGCGCGCAGCACAGAAATTCTTTTCATCCAAGTTACATCCAAATCTGACACGCAGAGCACTGTGCAGTCTAAAAACACGTCTCTGTATGGTGGCAGGAATCGCCATGCTCTCCCGCCTGCCTAAGCCTGATTCTGCCATCTGCTCAGGTGCAGGCGGGGAGCACTGAGCCATCAGCATAGTCTCAGAGCACTCTCCTTCTGATCCCAAGTGGGAACACAAACATCCAATCCCATAAAAGCCATTGAAATGCTTTAAAGCCAGAGTTTGCACTGGCAGCACAGTCCTAGGAAGCTGCACTTTAAAATGATGCAGCTTTTTTTTCTGCTGCTGTTGTTGAATTAGGAAATCTCTCTACAGCAGGCCACCAACAAACAGCAAAAATCTGTGTGAAATTCTCTCTCCCTTATTTTTTAAGCCTTTTCAGGCTTTTAAGTGGATTTAGCCACACATTGGGCACCACTCTGTTGTAATAGGAGCAGTGGGGCTGCGTCCCCAGCACCCCGGCTGCCTGACTAGCTTATGCCCCGAAATAACAACACACAAACTGTATTCTTTTAATCACTGCTTGGCCCATTTCTATCTAGCCTCTTCTAGGCTAACTCTCGCACCTGGACTAGCCCATTTCTAATAATCTGCTGTAGCCCATGAGGTGGCTTACCAGGGAGATTCTAGCCTATGTCCATCCTGGGTCGGAGCTTCATCACGTGTGTCCCAGAGAGCAGAGCTATCGCATCCACCTAGGATAGGGGAGCATGGCGTCTCTGCTCCAGAGAACAGAGTTGTCAAGTCTGAGCTCACTTCCTCTTCCTCCCAGCATTCTGTTCTGTTTAATTCTCCCACCTATGTTTTAACCTATGAGAGCCAAGCAGTTTCTTTATTATAATTAACCAATGACCTTCCTCCATCAGAGATCCACCTCTGTTTTCCAAGTGCTGGGATTAAAGGCATGTGCCACCACTGCCAAACTTACCTGCATTACTTTACAAGCCTAGGGAGGGATCTGGTATGGTGTGGGAACTTTTGGAAGATCCTGGTCATAGAAATAATGCAAAGGTCATGTAGACTGTTAACTACCTCTGGTCCTGCTTGAGAAAACTTTGTATGGTCTGGATCTATAGATAATGCAGATCACCAGACCATTAGTCACTTCCATGCCCAGCCTGGGTGTAAACTCAGGTTCTATATTTATTCTCTTAAAAAGAGTCCTCTGTGTTTATCATTCCTGGTTTTTGTGAATGTGCTCCCAACATGTCTATCCTGTGTGTGTACTGTAAAAGTTGTCAAAAACTCAAAATGAAGGGTTGGAGAGATGGCTCAGTGGTTAAGAGCATTGCCTGCTCTTCCAAAGGTCCTGAGTTCAATTCCCGGCAACCACATGGTGGCTCACAACCATCTGTAATGAGGTATGGTGCCATCTTCTGGCCTGCAGGCATACACACAGACAGAATATTGTATAACATAACGTAATAAATAAATAAATAAATATTTAAAAAAAACTCAAAATGAAGTTGTTTAGATCAATCCAAGCAAAATAATTAAGTTGAGAGCTTATGAAGGAAGAGTCCTGATGCATATTTA